TTGAGGTAGTCTACTTTCAACACTTGTTTAATATGTGTCGTTACTTCTCAAGTGAGAAAGAGCTGTTGATGTTTGTGGGTACCATTTCTGTAAACCCTCACGAGACTTCACTCGTCCACTAGGGGTAACCTAGGGGTTTAAAAGGCTTGTTGCATATGCTAAATGCAACCGTGATCCCTACGAAAGTGGTGTTATCTTTATTTGCTTTATTAGTTCATAATCGTATATATGTTTGTTTCATTTCCATGCTGTAGTTTATTGCTAGGGACTAGCAATATCTAAGTTTGGGGGCGTGATAAGTGCTTAAATGTTGCACATTTCAGCACCTAAGCTAAGGTATTTTAGTCTTTGCATCTATCTTAATTTTATATTTTAGTCCTAATTTATGTTTATGTGTATTTCAGGGCAATAAAGTTAAAATGAGCTAAGAACGGTCCAATTAAGCCTTTTTGGAGTTAAGCAAAGATTTTCAGACAATGGCACAAAGCGGTCAATTTCGGGCCTTTGATGATGTTCCCAAAGATGGAGAAGCAAACCAAATAGCCCGGGGCAAAAATGGAGCTGAATAAGGCTTAAAGGAATTTGTTAACTCTGGGGGGATCGATCCCCAGGGTGGGGGATCGATCCCCCAGGACTTAGCAACATTACAGTTTTTATTTAATTTTTGGGCTCATTTTGGGAACTGTTGGGCTTTAATGAGATTGTTACTTAAGGCCCAGTGAGCCATTAGATTAGGGTTAGTTTTAGTTTTTATTTAGGTAAAAGATTATTAGAGAAAAAAAAAAAAGAAAAGTTTTATTTATTATTTTTTTTTTTTCTGTATCGTAGTATCGTATTTTCTCTCTGGAAAAACACGCGAAGAAAGGGAAAAAGAAGAACAGGCTAGGGTTTGGAAGAAAAGTTCAGAGAAGATGAAGCAAATGATGGGGATTGTCCTATCTTCGACTCCATCAACCATGAGTGGCTGATTCTTCTACTTAGGGTTGGATAAACCCTAAGCATGTAACCTATTCTCTCTCTCTTTTCATACTTTTTGGGGATTAATTTATGTAATTAGTGTATAGTCTTGAATATTATGAATTAAATTCTTCCAATTGATTATCTGTATTAATCTCATATTGTCTTATGTGCGGTTGATTGATAAACAAATTTTACACACGAATTCTTTGTTAATTGATTCTTGTGATGGCTATGCATGGTATTGCTTAGTTGTAATTGTGTTTCAAATTGATGAAAAATGCTTACATTTGATGGATGGTACTACATGTTTAGGTTAATTTGTTGTTTAATTAGTTTTAAATTCATGTTTAATTAGTTTAATTTAAGTTTAATTAATTTAATTGCAATTCAATTATTAGGTAAGTAGACCATCCATACTTATGTTTGAATTCCATACTTTTTGTCACAATTGCATTATCTTCTAGATTAATGTGTGTTAAATTTGTAACTTGGATTGATAAATCATGCTTTGAATGGGTGAATTGCACTACACTTAGTTTAATTGTCATTAGGTAGTTGATTCATGCTTGAAATTGATGGTTTACACTTTTCATTGCTCTTGTTAGCCACATATAGATTACATAGTATTATTTCCCCAATTAGTTGAAAGTGAGTGAGTTAGGGAATGTGCTTAGTGGTGAATCCTACACCCTAAGTCTCTTTCCAATCTCTTAAACTCTATTTCTTTATTGCAATCATTTAGTTTAAAATTAGTTTTAATCACAAACAAAACCCTTTTGGCAATCACAGAAGCACTAAAGTATAATTCAATTCTGGAAAACCTATAATTGTTTAGATCTCTTGGGACGATCCCTGCTCACTTCATACTCCATAGTATAAGTGTTTAGTGGTTTTATAAATTTTAAAATATGGTGTCCACTTGACATTATTTCTAAACCTAAAGTGTTGTGCATTATTTTGTGCACACGCTCGGTCGCACCATAATCCTTCCCCTTTAGACAGGGACAGATCTAGTGGTGAATTTTGGTGGACTTCAAAAAAAAAATATATATATATATATAGACAATTTTAACCCAATTAAAAATAAAAATTATTACTATTATTAACCCACCCAAACAAATCCAAGTCAGTTATGTCCTCATAACCCAACCATTGTTGTAACCTGTGCTACTTAAGTACTTTTTGAAAATTGAGAGGAAAAAAAAAATTATATATATATATATATATATATATATATATATATATACACACACTTTTTAAACTACCATAAAAAAATTAATAAGAAGAATTATATTGAGGAATGACTACAAAATGATATAATGAACCTTAAATCATTAATTATTTCTCTTTCACATGTGGGAGTATAATTCATAGGGTAAAGTGCATTAAACCCCCTTGAACTATTGGTCATTTGCAAGAAACCCCCCTGAACTACAAAAAAAACCCCTGAACTATGATTTTGTTGCAATTTACCCCCTTGAACTATTGGTCATTTGCAAGAAACCCCCCTGAACTACAAAAAAAACCCCTGAACTATGATTTTGTTGCAATTTACCCCATTGAACTATTGGTCATTTGTAAGAAACCCCCCTGAACTACAAAAAACCCCCCTGAACTTTGATTTTGTTGCAATTTACCCCCCTGAACTATGATTTTGTTGCAATTTACCCCCGTGACATCAGCTCCCGGCACCGAAAATTTTGAAAGGCCAGTTTACCTTTATAACACACCGCGTTGTTTTAACTTATACACTTCTTATATTTTTTTTTCTGCCAAAAGATGTTTTTCACCCAACACAACCCAAAACAGAGAGCTAGAGAGAGAAGAGACCAAAGAAATCCGGGGCTTGTGCGCAGAGGACTCGGCTGTGATGAGAGCTCGGTTGACTCGGCTGTGAACTGTGGAGGTGGTGGCGAGCTCAAGGGGGCTCGGCGGTGAACTGTGGACGACTGTGTGCTCGAAACACGGACGACGGTATGCTCGGCTATGGAGATGGCGGAATGGGCCGACGAGCTTGGAATTGACGATGGAATGGACCGGCGAGCAAGGTGAGCTGAACGGCGGGCAAGGCGGTGACGGCGATGGGCTAATGCAACGGTGCAGAGAAGTGCGATATATATGGCCGACGGATCTGGCGGGTGGTGCAACGGCTATGATGGAGCTATGACAGGAAACCCACCGATCCCAGCAACAGATTTCTTGGCTTATCTAAACACTCCTCAGACGACATCTACCACTCCGATTCCAGTCACAAATTCCTCTGCTTTATCGTCCCTTTCAGTCAATCAATTCGCGCGGATGGGGTAAATTGCAAAAAAATATATAGTTCAGAGGGGTTTCTTGCACATACTCCAATAGTTCAGGGGGGTTTTTTGCAACTTTAATACTTCAGGGGGATTTCTTGTACATACCTTAATAATTTAGAGGGGTTTAATGCACTTTACCCTAATTCATATTCTATATAGTAATTCAACAAATGTAAAAATATGCGCAGACGAGTAACATTCGACCGACTAATAAAGCAGCATCAAATTTATAGCTAAAATGGTTAGAATGTTTGGTCGGTTGCTGTTTGAGTAGAATAACTTGCATTTTGAAAGGCTTATCTCGCTAACTTGACATCAGGGTATTTATAGCTCACTCCCACATCCTTTGTTTTTATAAATTATTCTTGAGTTACTTATAGACATATTTTCACAAGTTGTAGAAAAATCTATCTAGATTTTATTGTGTTGATATTAAGTTTCTCTTCTTCAAGAAATTACTAGAATATTGCATTAATTTTTAACCTCCATTTTTTTTTTTGTTCCTTTTTAAGTGACTTTTCTTAACACGAGTCTCATTATAAGTTTTTTAATTTAATTTATACTTTCTCCAATTTATGTGTGGATCATTTTAAATAAATATAATGTAATAATATATTGAATTACATATTTTATAAAAAAAATTAATAATAGCGAAAAAGGGCTTTTGCTACTTCTTTCCTGCATTGTAATTTTTTTTTACTCGCTAGTGCTTATAATAAATATTTTTTGTTTAAATGCTGTAAACGGCTATTATGTGGAGGGAGTGATGAAAATGTGGAAGTGTATACTATGAATCTGCGACATAATGTGTAAGAAGAAGCTATGATGGTATGGTGGTAAATATGAAATTACCTAAAATAAAAGTTAAAAAAAATAGTGACGAAAGAAGTTGTGGTGTTGGAGGCATGTTTAGAGTTTTCGGCTTAAGCCTCCAATTGTATGGAGTCGAGCTGTGCATACCTGTTAATTACAAAACATACTTAGAACATTCATGGTCAACAATTACTTAATTATGATTTGCGCATGATAAATTCTAAAAAATCCGTACTTAATTATGATTTGCGCATGAAAAATCCTAAAAATTCATATATATATATATTGAAGTGGCATGTAGTTGTTGACAGGCCAATATATTATACATTTATGTATATTTTGTAATTAATCAAACACACCTTATATAGAAGAAAAATAATTTTGAGACATTGTATTTGTGATGCAATATATACCTTCACGATTGCAAGAGCATAACAGATAAAGTGAGGAGCGTATAAATTTGAGTAGTACAATTAATCAATGAAAGTAGTCAGTGCAGAATATATATAGACCAAAATAATGGGGTCCATATTGGCATATTCAGTTCAGCTACCACCCCACTTGAGCGTCTGCTATAATTACTTGAGACTTATATTTAAGATGGCAGAGGATATATGTGGGTGTATATGTGTATATACATATATCGTGTGTGTATATATATATGGAGAGATTGGTACGATAGGTCTTCCTGGGACACAGACATCCAGAATGTTGAAGAGGACACTGCATTATTGGTCCAAACTTCTTCAACAAATATTTGCTAGTACGTCATGATATATATATATATATATTTAAATTGATCTTTTCAAAAACTAAAAATAAGTAGAATATGTTCCAAGAAGATATTTTCAGAGGACTACGTACACCAAACAAATTAAAGATTCTATAGGATGATGCAACATGAGACTTTGGAATGATTCCTTTTCATCACTAACTGGAATTAATAGTACCCTTATAAAAATATAAAGTCAACAAATAGATATATTAATCTTCTGTGAAAGTTGATTCTAAGCTTGAACTTGGAATAGATATAGAAATCATACAAGTTATTCAAAATAATAATCATGAGATACATGCGCCCAGGGACTACAAAACAAAAGCCCAGTTAATGACACTTTGTACTTCCAGTCTTAGCTAGAATGCATATATTATATATAACATCATGAGCAATCAGCCTTGGATTAGCAGACTTACTGCTCATCATGTTATATCACTCCCTGAAAACTTCGATCAGCAGTATTGATCTGCAGCCAAACAATGCCTAACAAAATCCTCCCGGTGCCGGAGCCCAATAATCAGCTCCATTTTCATCATGACTTCCAACAGCATTAGTGCAGGACACAGGAACCAAACACAACCCTCTATTCCTTAAGTCCTTTGGTGCATCCTCAATATCCTAAAATTATCAAAACACAAATCCAAATAAAGCAATTACACAATGCTCGTCTTATCTATACCCAAGCCTTCTTTTAATTCAGTTTTAGGAAAACAGCTATCAATAAACCATTAACCAAAGACTATACCCGTATTTTTTTCTTTTTTTTCGTTTTTTTTTTTTTTTTTTTTTTTTTAGTTATTTGTTCCCAGAAAACTGAAACATGCAAGATCATAAATTTTGCTACGTATTATCTTGCAATACAATGAATAAATAGTGTGCATAATTAAATTAATGCCACAGTACTATGTGTTATCATTACCGTATCATTATTAGGTGTGATAATGGGAGACAAATTTCATTACAGAGGTATTTTACAATAAGATATTATTATTATTTGTGGTAAATTACAATGAGAAATAAGAAAAGTTCACCTGCTTAGAAGCTGCTCTTCTTTTCAGGCAATTATCATTCAGCAGCTAGGTGAATAATGGGAAAAGAAAAAGGAAAGTATTAGTATTTTATGTCCAGGTTTCAACCCTTTTTCTAATTCCATGTTCAAACTAATTAAAGAGGTCCCCAAGTTGTGCTATTAATCAACATAAACTAGTATTAAAGTATATTAAAGCTGGGGACCTAATTAATTGTTCTTTCAGTACTCAACTTTATGAATATATATATATATATATATATAGAATAGAATGATAGCTTAGATGCTTTAGGAAATATAAAGCTCCCTAGCTCTAGTTGCTTTTGAGCAAGAAGTGATGGATCCAATAAAGCATATACCTGACCAGGCTCTTCAGGAAATATACAATTTCTTTCTCCCTCAACCTAAACAAAAATCCTCCTCATCAGTCAATTAATATCATTAATTAGTACTTGCATATATATATGCTTATTATGTGGTTGGTCTCACATGTATGTATGCTTCATATAAATATATGTATGTATGTATATATATATATATAGAGAGAGAGAGAGAGAGGATATGGTGTCTTGCATTGGGAAATGGATACGGGGGGACTTACATAGTGTTGATGCCTCTTGTTTCCTGATACATTGCCCAAGTATGGGGAGCTAAGTGCCTGCATTGAAGGTGGAAAAGTAGAGAATATATATGCAGAAACAACTTGAATAGCTAAAAAGAATTTTTAGAAAGCATGAAAAGATGAAACTTTAACTTCATGCTCTCAATGATTAATTTCTTTAGTTGCTTGGCAGAGCATAGATGTGGAAGAAACATCACCTCAATTTGACCCTGAAGGAATCTGATATATTCAATCGCTTCAAATAACACAGAAGCTGTGTCAGTCTGCAAAAGACAACATGTACACCAAAACACCCCCATAGTCATTATTTTTCTTTGTATCATAGTTATAATGTTAAAATAAAGACAACCCAAGATGGGAAAATACAAGAGCTGTTTATATATATATATATATATATTATCAGTATGGGTTTCATCATAAAATAATTGCCTAATTGTGTATAATTCTTTCTGTTCATGTTCAGTGGATCATCAGAGTGAGCCTAATGAAGTGGAGAGCTTGGTTTAATTACCTTTCCAAATGGAGAAACAATTTGGTGGAGGGCTGTTATTCTATCACCTAGCTTCTCCTTTCTGACCTGTGTGATTCAAAATATTTATGAACATGAAATATAATTAACTTTTTAAATAGAAATCTACAATATTTCATTAGTTTCCTTCTTTTCATTTGATGGCTGAGGTGGGTAAAAGAAGAAATATTGTACAATAGTCAAGAAAACAACATTCTCCATCCTCTGTGTGTGTGTGTGAGAGAGAGAGAAATTTGTTTACCTTTAGAGGTGGTTGGGTTGATGAGGCTTGAACCTTGGCCTTCTTAGATACCACACCAGTGGCTGTGCTATTATTACACTGGTAGAAAAGAATAAAAAGAGAGAGAGAATTGATTAATGACATAAGATGAAAAGAAGTGATCATATTAGTTAATCATATCATGCTGTTTGTATATCCAGTAATATTAGATGATTTCAGTGGAAAGAATAATTGAGTAAAGTTACAGTTTTCTTTAGATATATAAGCTAGATTTTTGTTGGTTGGCTAGTTTTCCACTGAAATCATGAAATTTACTAAGTTTAGAATAATATATAAAATAAAATTTGTTAAGACTTTTTCGCTCTCACGGTCTCACCTCATGAGATGAATGATTTGGATGTTGATTCCTCCCATCTGCATTGTTATTAGAGAAGTCCAAGATGTTGTTGCTGCATAAACTTGCTACACAAGGCTTAGGGGATGAAACTGCAGGCATGACTTGTTGAGACCAATTATTATAAGATCTACTACATGCTTGAAATTCAGCATCTCCATGACCAAACAGTTGGCTTCTTTGGCCAACCTCTTGCTTTACATCAGCAACAGGAACCCTTAAAGATGGATTCAAGATTTTGTCTTCCCAATTTTCCGAACTACTCTTTGACTGAAAATGACTACTCCGCCCGCCAAACCTATCTTCCTCACTAGGCAGTCCACCCCTGATCAGAAAAAGAGAGTAACAATCATTCATCAAAACCCCACAAATATTCCATTACCATTAGTACTGAAAAGCTTTTTAAATTGAGCTAAAAAGGCTGGCTAATTATTGTAACACAAACTAGGGGGAAAAATTTATTGTAACACAGATAGCTAGGTTAATTATTAGAAAAACTTGTGAGGTATTTATGGGTGGACACACACACACACACAAACACAAACACACACATATTTTTAGGGGACAAAATATGAATATCAAATAGTGAGATTAGTTATTAGAATTTTCTTATGAAAGTACTATATATGGGGAAAGATACATGAGTAGAAAGACACAGAGAGAGATCAAATCTAGGGAAGAAAACCATAAACCACAGCATCTCACTGAGTTTATGAAGGCTTTAAATTAAAGAAAATAACTAAGACAAAGAATATATATCAATTACAGTGTGATGCTGTGGAGTGAGCAAAAAAAAAAAAAAAAACAAACAAACAAAGGTCTTATTTTTAGATAAAAATCCCCATGAAACCATGGGAAGCAAGTTTGACAAATAGAGTAGAACAGCACAGAGAGAGAGAGAGAGATTTACAGAAGTAGTTGGCTCCATGATTGTGGAAAGTCTTGGTTATCACCTAAGGAGTTCAAAGCCAGTACTGCAGAAGATTCAGTGACGTATTGAGGAGTAAATAGGGAAGGAGGAGGAGGTGATGAGAAATTAGAAGGCTGCTGAGATGGTGGCTGCATGCTATTCATGCTCCACCAGTTAGGGTTTCCTGCCATCATTTGCTGCACTGAATCTCTCTCTCTCTCTTTATTCAGAAACACCTAAACTCAACCAGCACCTCTTGCCTTTCAGTCTTTAAAAGAAAAAGAAAAAAACAATTCCTTTTCTCTCTCTTGTTTGCTTTTTTGCTCTTCACTTTGTTATCTTTCCTTGTTTATGCACCAAAACAAGGCCTTGTTGAAGCTTTCAGGCAGTGTCTGCTTTCTCAGATGAGGTTGAACAAACCCATGTCTGTGTCAACAAAATATTTCATAGTTAATCGTGGGGTTGGGAAGCTTTGTATTTCTTTCCTATCTTTCCATCTTCTTTCATTTGTTTATTGTTCTTTTTATTCTTGCTTTAGCTTTATTGTAAAGTGGAGAGAAAAAGCTGGTGGGCAGTGTTTTCAGGACAAAAAAAACAAATGGTTTGTGCAGCTTCATTCCTTGATTTGGGGTGTTAACTAGCTAGGTATTAGTTTAGAGTTGGGGTTAGTTTAGGTCTGCATGAATTGGACCAAATTTTTGAGATGGCATGCCCAAATTGTATCACTGACAAAATAATTATAGGGACTATGGTGTGGAATAGGTTGCTCTGTTGTAATGAATTCTGAGGTCTTATCTAGTTTTGTTTTTTTTGTTTTTGTGTTTTTTGTTTTTTTTTTTTTGTTTTTTTTTTTTGTTTTTGTTTTTCTGAATAGGTCTTATCTAGTTCATTTCTCTCATTGGGTCTACACTACGTAATGGCTCTTCTAAATGTAATAAAATTATATATATCATATGATGTGATGAATATGAGTTGCCTTGTGTGGAAGTGGGGTGAAAGTTGAATCTTGGTAAAAACATTTAGAAGGGGTGAATTAGTTTAGTTTGGTCGGATTGATTTTTAGATTATTTTGTTTTTAATAATTAAAACACAGTATATTAATCACACATAAGCAATTAAAAAATAAAGACCAAAAAAAAAGAAAAAGAAAAAGAAAAAAAGAGGGATGATACCAAGATTTATTTTTATATATATTTTTAATGCATAAAACCATAAAGATCTCCAAAACAAAATACAAAGACATAACAATCCACTATTATGAGAAGAGTGTAACGATTTCTGTACATTCGGTATTTCTTTTTAAATTTATGATTCAATTGTCTTGAGAATCACATGCTCTAGTTTTACCTCATTCAATATCTTCCTAATTAATCACCAAAACACTAATCTACGTCAACCCAATCACGTCCTCCTACTCCAATTGCCTTGGTAATCATAAACAACACGTCAATGCAATCACCTCATCCTACTAATTTAGGTCAATGCAATCACCTCAAGATGATCAACTTCTCTCAGTGATCGAACTCACCTTATCTTCCCCTAATCATGCCGAAATGCAAATAAAATGTGTTGCTATGATCAATAGAATAACATTGTACAGCTCACAATACCATGAATTGTGTGTGCTTTCAATATAAAAGAAAAGAATTTAGAAAATTTTCATTCGATTCATTAGGTTCTTGTCATTGGAATTTTTTTGACAATTTTATCAAAAGATTACAATTCTTCGTAAAAATATTGTAACTCTTTTTAAGAGTTGACATCCCAAATTTAAAATATTGTTTGTCTCTCAAAGTCCATCACATGATCTAGTAAAAGCCTCATCAGAGCTGGGTATTTATAATGTCCTTAAAAAAAGAAAAAGTATAAAATAACTAGAGGATATAGATCTCTATAGTATAATCGAATTAATTTGTAAGATAACCAAAACAGTCTCTAACCATACAACTTGTTCATATCAACATCATACTCGTTACTAGAACCTGAAATGTGATAACTTGTATGAAAGTTGACAACAATTATGAGTCGACTCTGTTAACATTAATTCGGTGTCTCTAGCTATAAAATAGAACTGGGTTAGGCACGAAACTCCTAAAAACATTCACACCTGACAAATTATCAGTGTATCAACTTTATGCTTTGTCCATTACCGTATTAAACATTGTGAATTGGTGTGTGTGTGTGTGTGTGTGTGTGTGTGTGTGTGTGTGAGAGAGAGAGAGAGAGGCTTCATTGTGCTTGATTACTCTGAAGAACAAGTGGTTCATATTATATATTTGTGGCTACCCTAAGGTCTATATCCTGAGGATTATTAATGTTCTTAAAGCAATTATCTAGGGATCATAAAGAAGCATGTCCAGATAAATATATCATATAAAATTGAAAGAAAAGATGGAAAAAAATATTACATCAGCAAACACTAGCATAATTTATTCAAAAAGACATCCACTTTCATACCATTGTTGCCCTAAAGTGGATGAATTACACTAGTTATGGTTATAATGAATTAATTACACACCGGAAGGGGAAAAAAAAGTCAAGAAATGTTGAAATTCAGGAGCTATCAGTGGTTCTAAGCTTCATCCGTTACACGTCTTTGGACTGCTGTACAAGCAGCTTCAAGTTCCACATATAATTTTCTAGTTCAACATAAACTATTTTTTATTTTATTTTAGTTTATTTTATTTAAAAGGTTAATACACTCAGAGTTTACTTAAAGAGGATTAGTTCACTCTATTAAATAACACAAATATAAATATATAAATATATATGAATATAAATGTGCAATATATATGAATATAAATGTGCAAGAACAAATGTTGCAGTCTAGTAGTATTTCATCGTCTTTCAAAATAAAAGGTTAAGAATTCAAATCTCTAAAGAAACAATTTAAGTGTGCGTATTTTTTACCAATGAAAAAATATATATTTAGTGTGTGTGTATATAGTTGAACACCATTGCTTTTGCACTATGACCAAGCACAGCCTCCAGACATGCTGTCACATTGCTATATAACATTGCCATCTTGGCATCTTATGGGCTATGAACCGCACTAAAATTGTCTCATGCATAGTAAAGTAGGAATTACATCATCTCATGTGCATTTGGAAACTTTAAGTATTTGGTGCACAAGAAATGATGGATATCATTTCATATGAAATAATTTTTATTTTTTTCTGTATATTAGACTTTTTGTTTTTTTTTTGTTACACACGAAGTGTTCAAAACCACGATAAGACGTTTTCTACCTTTCCTGTGCACTGAACTGTTCTAATTTGATTTTCGATAGTTTTGCTGGTACAACGTTAATTACAGCAGTACATAGTAACACCAGTGATTTGTTTCGTGAGGGAGTGCCTCATGTTTCACGCACACTCGAGAATCATATAGACCTAAACAAAAATCATCATTCAAATAAATTGAGTCAAAGCCCTAATTATTAGGACGTCAAATATAGTCCCCTACATCCATTGCACATAGACTACCTTTATTCAATTGAAGGATGGCCATATAACTGTAAAGTTATTGGAGCTGATAGAGCTGACCCACTTGACAGAACCCAATATACAAATATAATTATAAATTGGAGGTTATGACATTAAAATGAAAAGGTTAACATGATAGTTTGCCATCTCCAATGACCAACACAATTTGCTTTCTGTAAAGTTGGTGCTTATTAGAGAGAAAACAGATCAAATCATGTTTTGCACGTGCACCCAACTGATTAATGTGTTAGTAGGAATAGTGTGGCATTGTATGCATTGAGCTTTAAAGTACACAATTTAACCATACTAAACCTCATTATAAGTCAAACTAAATACAAATCAAAACCATCAATAAAAGCTAATTTGTTCCATGACGAAAAATGGTCAACCTCCAAAGGACATAGGACTTGACACAAATTTCTTTTTGTCACAGCCCAAAGAGGGACCACTACTGAGTCATCGGACAAAGAAAAAGCTCAAAATTATTTTTTTAATGAGCTGAGTGACATATGATAGAATAAAGCAAGGAGAAGAGTTGAAGAGAGTAAGAAACAGCCCAGGGGGAAAAATAGCCACATTGAATGAGTTACATAAAGTTGATAAAGAATGGAGCTAATCTATATAGAAAGGAATATAAATGCTTTTTCAAGGAATCTTGATTCCTTAATTCAATAATCAATAGTAATGCCAATTTCACGCATTTTTTATACATCATTTGTATAGTACTTTCCTTCTTTTTTTTCCCATTTCCTACCCTGTGGAATTATCATTGTTGTTGAGTATTATTGTTGGTTAAGCCACCATGCCGTCGCAAGGCAATAACTGGTTCACCGCATCTGGAGCACCGGAACGATGGAGCTGCAGAACACCGTGTTCGAAGGCAGTAGTAACAGTACCTGGCAGTGAAACAAATCAAAAATGTTTTTCAGCAAACCATCTGCCAAAAAGAAAAAAAGAGAAGGAAAACAAACAGGGTTTGCAAATGTGTTTCCAAAAGAAAGGGGAGCATGTAAAACATTGTCGTATTCATACAATCTTCACACAAACCATCCAAGTAGACGGCGAACTGAAGGGTCCATCATTCCCAGTCTTTGAGTTGGCATAAAATTATACTAGTGAAAATCCAATAAAAAATTCAATAATATAAAAGCTGCAGAGCTTTGACTCAGTCTTTTTAGACCTGGTATGGTCGAAGCTCTGAATCATCAACTGATCCTGATTTCAAATTTCACTATATAGTAACCTGTTGGCCTCTAAAATATTGTTCGAAGGAACAAATATACATTCTCACCCCTGTAGGTAGGATCAGTATCAATAATCACCCTCCTGAACTTTAAAATGCACCAAAGCTCCCCCTTAAACTTGAGCATGTTTCACCTAACCCCTTCCCATAAATGGACTTCAGTAAAGATACTGAAAATCAAGTGACTAGCACATGACTATTTTGAGTGTTATTGAGCGAGTGCGCGAAGTGAGGTTCACCAAGTGAAGCAAAAGAATGAGAGAGCGCAGCGAATGAGTGAGAAAGGAGAGCAGGAATGTTGGACATTCCGTTCCCTGACCTAAGAACGAACATAATTTTACTCAATTCAATGCCAAATAAGAACAACTATTTTACCAGTGTTTCTTTCTTCCTCTCCCTCCATTCTTCCAGGTTCCTTCTGCTCTTACAACGAAGTAACATACTAAAAATGAAACTTACAAAAGGGATGAGAGATCTTGGTGAGAGAGACTTACAAATATAGAGAACTCTCCCCAAAGAAAAAAAGAACTTTTCAAGAGAGAGAGAGAGAGAGAGAGAGAATTGATATTGAAAGGTAAATAACTCAAGTGCAAGAAATGTGAAAAACACTATTCAACGAATAACCATGGTGATTTCGCCCCCCATGACATTGATGATTATTGCCAAGTACCAACAATGTTGAATGACAAAAACAAACTAACCAGCAGTGGGTTGTGGGAATTGAAGGTGTTGCAAGAAAATTAACAATAGTGATGCTGTAAGGAAACCCCCATTGTGTTAAAAGTAATGTTCAACACTTAACAAACACAAAATCAATGTTATTCCTTTGCATGAATATAACAGCCAAACAAAACAAGTCGAATTCCACTGAGGAATTCAAGCATTTGACTGAACAAACTAGTGAATCCCATTGAATTTTAATCTAGTTCAGCTAATCCACTGTTTTCACAGGAGTTTATGCCTCGATTCTATGAAATAGGAATCTCTAAACTCAGGAAAAATCATACAAGAAAGAAGTTTGAACTTACCCTACTGGCTTGAAAGTTGACCCAGACATAGATCAGATGGGGATTTTCACAACTGGCTAGAGAGAGAAGACCTGACTGACCTGAAGAGAATGACTTCAGCCAGCCAGGATAGTTTTATTCTCACTTATTGACCAAACTGAAGGAACTGACCTAAGATGGCTCTTCCTAAAGAAGGAAAGAATCACTGACCGAAGGTTATGTGTCTTGAAAGGAAGCAAATGTTAATGGTGGGTGTCACTTATAGAAAGAAAAAAAAAAGAGTTACACAGTCGGGGGCCGGGGGGAGTGAGAGAGAGAAGTGATGAAACCCAGGTGCAACGACTAGACAGACATAGAGATAAAATCTCCAAAATGATGAAGAGCGTGATTAAGATTAAATCTCAAGCCTCTTCTTCACATCTCCCTCAAAAAAATTTAGCTCCCCAACCATCCATTTGAAATGAGGCCCACCAATTACCTCCGTCAACAATATCGCCTCCATTGCCTACTTCTCATGCTATATTGTTGATGAGGTCAGCAGCACTGCATTTAGAAACCTTAAGGAATACCTAGAAATCTTAGGTTTGCTGCCTCAAAGTACAGTTTACACTTTAAGCACTAAATTTTGAATAAGATATTAGCAGATATTCATATTAAATTATATCCTTCAACATTTTTATTACATGTTTGTGTCAATGGAATGTGCAATCGACAGAACAGTACTACAAGATAATTGCCTTCACCATGAAATAGTCCCTTTCAGTTAGACCTATGGTACGAGATTAAAAACACCACTTCTATCCATGTTGTTTGGACTTAGTTAAACTATGAATAATCAATGGAGAAAAAGGAATGCATGGTAAAGTACCTGTGTTGACAGGGGAGAGCTAAAAAAGGAATGGTTGGACTCGCTTGGCAAATGGGGCAGACAGTTTCATCCTCTGCAGAACTTGATGACGTATCCTTTGAGAATGGACGAAGAAAATTTTTGATGGATGATGAATTAAGAAGAGGAAGAAGCAACAACAACATTTCCTGCACATGAAAAAAAAAAAAAAAGGTTTAAGAATATATTAAGCAATCGAGATGGATCTTTGTGCAATGTACTCAAAGAGTGATGCACTTTAATTGGTACACAAAATTATCCAAAGCACTAAATTTCTCTGAAACACAATCATCTAATAAATAATTGAAAATCTACAACTAATGTAATTATAATATTAAAATATATTTCTTTTACCTAATACAATATTAAGTACTTTATAACTGGACTCTAATAATTTTCCCAACATTCAATTGTTGAATTCAACAATAAGCAATAACAATTACCGAGAACTCATTCCACACTAACTGGCGGTTCATGTACTCAAAGCTAACAGCTCGATTCATATGGGGGCTCCCATAGACAAGTCTTGCACGTAGAGCTCTCTCAATTAGATTCCTATACCTGCATCAGTATGCCAGGAGCAAAAGGAAGAAATATTATATGGTATATGACCAAAAAAAAGACCCATTCCAATTTCCAGGTCACTTTTAAGACTTTCTGAAGCTTTAGAATTCTAGTAACATCTACTAGTATCAAATATAGATTACTCGGTCAAGTAGCACGACATGTGGTTTTGGATAAAAAACAGACTTGTTCCGTTTAAAGTCCCATCTCGGTAAAACATCTTTTAGTCATACACGCATCTCTCAGAACAAAATGGCCTTCAAACATTGCTAAGATGTAAGCATGAAAACGTGGCAAACTATTTGACGCTAACTCGTGATATGGAACACTTGCACACTAGTCCAAGCAATACCATAAAGAAGTTGTGCATTCTTAGATAAGCCCACTATCTTACCCTCGTTCACCTTCTTAATCTTGCACACTCAAAATTCACCAGGCTACACGATGTCAGCTTAACTGCATCTAGGAAAAACATGGACAGCCACATGATTACCAGTAATGCTATTATAGCAGCCCAGTTGAAAAATTGATTGTTTGGGTAGATGGCATGATACACACAGCACATGCATTTAATGAAATTGGAATTCTTCCCAGTTGAGTATCCATGGTTCCGTTGTTTTATGGTACCAGTAACAGGTTAAGTATTGGTGAATGATATGTACGAGTTCTTTTTTCTTTAGAATTAAAACGTAAAGGCAATGCATTAAGAACCCAACCACAATGTTTATCATCACACTGAAACTCAAGCAAATTGGTCAACCTTTGGGAACTTCAAACTTACTATTTTATGTTCCCGTGCTTTAAGTTGTACTGCATTTCTTCTGCATCGTTCAATTTTATTAAATGTCCAGCCTCACACAAACCAGTTAATGAGATATATATAGCATTTGAGATTATCTTTTTATCTTGTATAAAAAACCAATTCGTGATTTCAAACTCAAAGATTGGTAGTATTTTATTGACAGAATGCATTCAAAGAACCACCTGGGGACATGAAAATGCTTAGTGTTAAAAAACATACCTTCCTGTGTAAAGAAATATGAGAAGGTTGCTAAATGAGGCCGCTTTATAAATTCCTTCTATACGTTGTATCAAAATCCATGCTCGGCGCGCAAGTGACCTCTGAAGAATATAGAAAGGCAGATCAATCCCTTCTTAAAGTTCCTAAAAGAAGTACACACATATGGGGAGAGAGAGAAGGGATATTATATATATACACACACACACACATAGACAGAGAGAGAGATCTGACTATGTTTGGATGGAACTAAAATCTACTACCTGTTCAGAATCACCCCATCTACGGAAAGCGGAAAAGGATTGTAGACGGGACCAGATATACTGACCACCAACAGTAGCAACACAATACCAAAGCTTCTGAGCAACAGTGAGTCCAGGTCCCTCCAAACCCATCCTGACTGGAGGATAACATACAAAAGACAGAACAAAAAAACTTAAAATGTAAATAGATAAGGTTGGATTCATATGAGATTCAATGAAAAAATCCAAATATGGGTTGTCAAGCAAATCAATTTGAATATAATCAGCTATCAGGTAGCTACATCAGACTCACTTTGGGGCCTTTTTCTATTTTGCACCACAAAACTAACCTATACTTCTGTATCGAAGTCCTACAAAAGAAAGTTTCTTCCAACAATTTTTGGCATTCACAAAGAATTCCTAGAAATTGCATCATTTATTACAAATTGTAGGAAGAACTTCCTCTTCAACCATTTCTCAACAAGAGATCAGACAGCGAGAACATATGCAGAGAATACCGCTAGTCAAACTCAGAGGTAATATACATTTAATATTAGGGAGTTCAAAAATGGTCTAAGAAAAATAAAATCTCCTTGTTCCAGTACTCTTGGATTACCATATAAATCATATACGACCACAGGATTTTACACTTTCATGTAACCATTATACATATATAATTTATCCTCTAGGTCAGCTTTAGGGGTCAACAAACCTCCAAAATTCAGAGCTAGAAATGAATCACCACCTTTTGTATGAAACTAACATCAGTAAGAGGAAAATCTTTACAACTTCAAAAAATTAACTTGTTTAAGCCTGACTGATGCAAATCTAAAGTTGACTCAGAAGTCTAGCTTCAGTTCCAATAAGAAGAAAAGATTAACTCTAAGAACAAGTTATTAGATTTGAGTCATACTGAGAATTTTACAATTGACTGACTGAGAATTTTCCATATAATTAATGTGAAAATTTGATTTGTTCAGACATACAAAACAATGAAGAATGACAAAAAATAAAATAGAATTGAAAGCCTCCATAAATTGTGAGAACTAGTTTAATGCCAAATTGCCAATGAAATACAACGAGGGATTCTGCAATAGAGTGATGGCTCATCTTTAAGTGTGAGAGTATTACAACTGTAATCAAGTATTACAAGCCTTAATCACAATATAAGTTAACTAGAAGCATAAGTAAAGCACGTCCAGAACTTCTTACCTTTTCCTCTCGTTTCAATCACTCGTTCATCTCTATACCTCAAATTCATGAGAGCATTTCCCGGAGTAGGCTTATCAACCCAAATAGAGAATCGCCAAATGAGAAACTCGAGGAAAGCATCAAGTTCTGGTTCATATTGAAATAACAATCCTGGCTAATCCCAAAGAAAAAGAGGTAAAACAGATTAAACAACAACCAAAAAATTAACAAATGGGCTATACAACTAATCTCTTTGATGAATTGCAAATACCCAAATAACAACATGATACGTACCTTCATTAAAGTAAAAACCTTAACCAACTGCTCTTTCAACATGGCAGACATTTCAATATCCAGTCGTCCTGCATCCACCTGATTAACTCTTGATATTGTAATCGGAATTGTAGACTGCCAGAGAAAGCCAACAAAAAGGAAGTTTTAAATTTTCAGCTGGACAAGTGTAATCCTGACCACTTCCACAAGGAAGCAAATGACATGAGCACTGTATCAGCAACTCAAAACCCAAGCCATATATATAAAGAAAAAGAACGTCCAAACTAGTACAAACCTAGCAATTTTGTAGAATTAGCACAGAAAAACCCAAGTGAGCATTCAAATTCAGAAAGCCTTATACTTAATCCACCCACACACACAGCCACATACCTTCAGATGCATAATAGTAGTTAGGGACATCGTTTTCAGTACAATTTTCAGCCAAGAGAGAGAAGGTTGTTGTTTTTTTTTCCCTTTTATGGTTTCAATTATTCCTCATTTAATCGTGGAGTTAAGATTTTAATATGCTTAGCTTCGAGAATAAAATTCTTCACAGTTTACGTTTAGAATTTGAATTGTTAACCCAAAAAAAAAGATTTCTGCAGAGTAATATTAACCATAGAAACAATCAGGGAACTAAGAAACGGATAAAAGCAAACCCTAACCCCTAGATACAAAGCGAATTTCAAGGAAAATTTAGAATTGAGGGATACAGAAGAAGATGAAATGGAAGCACACACATATATATGTATAAGGGGGTGTGATTGAGGAGGGATAGCAAATAATACCTGGTGAGAGTGAGAGAGAGTGAGAGATTGCCATTGGGGAAGTAACCTTTGGTAGGTTTTAACCCAATCATCTTCGGGAGGTGGAATATTGGTATTGCTAGATGAAGATGAAGCTAAAGCTAGGGTTTCTCTCGGCATTTCTTTTTAATCAAATTGATGACTGGAGAGAGATTGCTCTTGCTCTGCTTTTTTTTTTTTCTCTCTCTCTAGGTGCCCGCAATAATGGTAAAAATTACTCCGTAACTCATTAATCACAGAGTAGAGAGGGGGGGGGGGGGGGGGGGGGGGGGGGAAGTGAGAGGGAGGGGACACAGGAGGAGAGAATTGAGTAGAGAGAGACAGAGAATAGTGAGAGAATGCAATTTTGGAGGAGAGAGAGAGAGAGGGGCGTGTCAGATATTCTTTTTCATAAAAACAAAAACTATCACGGTATTAAAATTGCGGCTGCAATATTTAGCTCTTATTTTTCCCGCTTTCCAATGCATATTGGGAGGATGAACGAGAATGACTACTACTTCGGTTTGCTTGGTTACATAAGAATTCAAGCGGAAAATTTATTTTGTGTGTTTGGAACACCGAATGATTGTCTTTGAATTTATACATAAAAAAAGGTTTTAATCATACAGTATTTTTTAAAATTTTAAAATTAAATTATTTATTAGGTGATTTCAAATATAGTATTCAATTTTATGAGTTTTTTTACTGACAATTTTAATTTCTATTAAAAAATAAAATAATTTTAAAATGTCAAAAGTTACATTATTACTCAAGTCTCGTCTAAGTATGCGTTTTGTTTCTGCTACTTTTTTTAGTAGTTATAGGGTCGCTTTTGGCAATAAAAGTATGTTTGGTGCGACCTTATTTTATTTTACACATTACTAAAACACTTCATGAAAAGTGGTCCAAAACTAAAACACCAAAAAGTTGATTATTCTTGTTTTGACAACTGTTCATGGTCCAAAACCATAACAGTAGTGCAACACGGACCCGACATTTTCTCTGCAAAACATCGTTCACAAACATGCTTCCAATTTTTTTACAAAATACTCTTACAGTAAAAATATTGTTTCTGTTTCAACCAAAAATAAAGCGCATGACAAACGTGCCCTAATAATAAAGATTTTTTGGTTAAAAAAAATAAAAATAAAGATTTTTTCTTTGAATAAAGATTTTATAGGCTTATATTCACTTATTACAAATAATTTAAGAGTCCAAAGTAGCTATCATTACCCAAAAAAAAAAAAAACGTGTTTGCTTCTCTAGCATGGATAAAAGAAGAAATGCATGGTTTGCAAAAGATACCTCACACATCATGAATAATGTTTTGGAGACTGTTTTGTGCTGTATAGAAAAGAAAAGAGCGTCGACAGCAGGATTCGAACCTGCGCAGGCAAAGCCCAACAGATTTCGAGTCTGTCTCCTTAACCACTCGGACATATCGACACGCCTTATTCTCTGGGCGAAGAAGTATATATTATATAAATAAAAAAATTCGGATATATATATATAATTTTTTTGAAGAGAGTTCAATCATTCAACATGTTCCAGCTAACGCTACCTGCAACTTAAAAATTGTTTTGAATTCGTTGCATATCCATTTGCACATTTCCCTAACTCAAAGTTTTGGGTGGGTGCATCAAGGATTGTCTTGTTAAGGTCATTATTCTGGAAACATATTTTATATATATATTCTAAACATTAATGCGTCATCTATATTGTTGCAATGACATGAAATTGGATCAGGTGCATTCCTTGCTAAAATTGCAGCTTAAAGTGCAAGTATATTAATACCTTTTGTGAGTTTGGGGTAAGAACTGACATTAATGTAAAAAATTAAGTCCGGCAATGGAATCAGTACCAGAAACAAACTTTTACTACATGAAATGGAGCCAACAACGGTACCAAATGTGCAATTTATACACAATTCAAATTAATTGTAGCCTCACTGAGTCTCGGTTGAGAAAACGGAAGTTATATAATTTATGTTTTTCATTGTAATAAAAAGCCTGACAGTGCAGGTCACCTACGGGAATGGGACCTACCAACCCCATTTCCTTGCTGAGAGGCTTAGACAGTCGTTACAGTCCCATAGGATGATGACCCCACAATTGCAACCAGTATTGAATGATGCAATACGGACCTCCCCCAATTATAACAATGGTTTTCTTGTTTTGGTTCAATTATATAAAAACATAAGTATTTGGTTCATTATTTCTAAGTTCTAATTCCTAATTGAGTCAAATTGACTGGCTTTTGTATATAAATCTTTTCTTTAAGCTACAAGAAGATGCAATTATGGCTGCATTGAACTGTTTTGTGTGTGTGTGTGTGTGTGAAAGTGCCATCATCATTGAAATACATCCTGTTTCAGTTGGAGCTAAAATAGGCAGTTATTCAGCGCAAAATACATCCTATTTCAAGGAATCAGCCACAACCCAATACACCCTAAATCAAGCAAGTGCAAAGTTTTTATTTCTACATCTTCATGTTCCGGTCTCTCTCTCAAGTTTTGCTTCAATCCAATGCAAGAAAGCCTACAAACTAAAAAGCTCCGAGAAATAGCATCAGACGACGACGACGACAACGAAGAAATCCAAGAAGTCATCTCCATCACTTACATCCAAGATAATGAAGATGACTGTTTTAGCATTCCCCTCAACTATCAAGATTCCCATATAATTTCTCAAAAATCTCTAACATCAAGAGCTCCACAAATCTGCTTTCAGTGTGCTACATTTCCAAGATTTCCAGGCAAACTTTATTCAACTTCCCGTGTATTCAAGGTCAATCACTCCCTCTTTATACTATTTTCAGTTAAAAGAGAAAAAAATAACATATCCAAAATTCAAGCTGAGTAATTTTCTTACTTTTCTTTCCAAATCTACAATATCCTAACGAGTTATGAAAATCATCCCTTGTAGTCTTGATTCATTTGTTTTGTTTCAATAAAAGCAAAGAGGTATTTTCAAGAAATTTATGGGTGTGCACTTCACGTAAGCTTCACATGAGCAGTGATCGATTCCTCTGGGCCTGACTTTTGTTTTTTCCTCCCACTAGAGAATAACCACGAAAAAGACTTCCCTCCTTTTTCTTCTGCCAAAAGGAAAAGGGAGGAATTAAGGGCATTTCTTTGTACCCTTTCTTCCTTCATTTTTCCACCCTACAAATCACACTCGTATCCAAGAAATGAGTAATCCCCAATGGTTATGTTGTCGTTTTCGGATCACCAACTCATGATTAACGAACCACTATATTATTTTGCATTTGTGTCTCCCATTTTGGGTATACCTTATGGGGACAATGATGACATGCATATGCGCTACACCTTACATGCGCAATCAAATGCCAAAAGCAAAAGAGATGCAATGAAATCCAGAGCCATTTTTCCGTTCACCCATACATTGCAGACAGATGCAACTTACTTGATACTCTCGGACTTTGGAGGCATGGACTACGTTAAGGAATGTTATTGCTAGAAAGATCACAAGTGCATATTAACAAATCGTCCACAGCAGTCGCAGTAAATTAGATTGAAAGCCAAATCACTAATTTCTCAAAAACAATATATTAACATATCACAGAAATTGATTCTAAATATCAAACTTATAAAAAAGTTATTAAATATATCAAATGAACATGTTAAACAACTACGAGCCTACAAGGAAAGGAGAGTGCATACATAATATTGACATGACCTCAAGGTTTCATGATGTAGCGGGTTAGTTCATGTCACATCTATTTGCAACAGCATTAAGATTCTTGTTCGGATATTTGAAGATATACCATTTGAGTATACCCGTTAAATACAGAAGTACCGAGTCTAGTCAAGCCAAGCCTGTGGAACAAACCAAACCTGCCATCTTCAACGATGGGATAGGGTACACGAGCAGGATCGTATCTAGTTTGATGAGTAAGTGAAGGGCCAGCAACAGGAGGAAGCTCCCAATAAACATCAAGCACTGATTCTACAAACCTGCTGTTCTGAAAATGTTCTGCATAGGTAATTGCCTTATTACTGTGATTAAAGTCATCGCGCATCACACCTCTTACACCCCACCACACTTCACCTGGCCCACATAGTTCTTCTATATCAACTGCCTTCTCCCAGAACTTATTCCTTCTTGATCTAATCCTAGCTTCATCACTATCTTTAAAGCAGCTGTGACCACCTCCTGGATAAAATAGCCATAATAAATTATGTGAATCTACACATTCCCATATCAAGATAATAATTATATTCAAATGACCTGGCGACTTGTTCAAACAATAATAGTGATTGATACAGCAAAACTTTTTCTTTTATTGTTGTTGTTACAGAACTGTTTTTGTTCTTTTGTTTTTTTTTTTTTTTTTTCCCTAAGTAAATGACAAAGATCCTTGGTAAGACAATTATATCTAATACATTAATAAGTACAATCTCATAACAATTATGAAAAACTCAGACATTTACAGTTGTATTATAAGATTACCAAAAACTGAAAATATCAAGTTTTTCTATTCTTTTCTATTACTGTTTTTCTTAATCAAGACAATACCAACACTTATGCTCACACAGTCTAATAAAATTTAGACAATAATTGGTATATGTGAAAGGTTATGAGAACTCAATTCAAGGACCCACAAGTACAGGTAATGAAACAGATATTTGGTTTTTCTAAAAAAAAACAGCAGGAAGCTGATATTCTTCGGCAAAAATAAAACTTTATAAATTCATAACAAAGATTTAGCAACAGAATAATATAAGATTTATTTAGATACTGACGAAGAGGTTTAGGGAAAAGAAGAAAGGGTCATATGGCTTTTATTAAACTGTAAAAGGAAAATCTTAAAGGCTCCTTCCTTATAGGTTGCATATGGGTGCCAAACAATGGAACATATATAATGACGATGATGATGATGACGTGATGAAAGAAACAACCAAAAACATGATATGATGAAGAACATGCACCGTGGAGATGCAACTATGCTTGCACACCAGACCAATCACCAACCAGAAAGAGGAGCGTTTCATTGGCCAGCAGGTCAAGGCTAAGTGACCAGATTGTGGAATAAGAATGAGGGCAATACTGAAAGCGACACCATGACACTATCAATTATTAAAATACCTTTGAAGCAAAAGCACTTTGATAGTGCATATAGAAAACAATTGTAGCATCTATGTGTATATAGGAGCATTGCTTGGTCCAATGGTAGTCCAGGGGCAGTAATTTGTTGCATATAATGCTAAAAATTTGTGAGGTCCAACCGTACAAGCACCTATATTGACCACAAAGGTTATTGGCCTTTTTTGTGCTTCTACTTTCTATAAAATAATAAAGAAGAAACCAATTTATGGAAACCACCTACAGCTGAGAACATGCTAAATCATAGTCACAGGTTTCACTAGAACCTGGATCCTATATGACTACAACTCTGCAAATTCACATGCTAAAAATGCAAGGCAGCCCTAATTAGAAGGATAAGGTGCCTATGTTAGAGGCTGCTGGGAATTTTATGACATCAACTTTATTACTCCATAAATAGTGCCTAATGTTAAAATGATATAAATACAAACGCGCACAACCCTGTAAACAGAATAAAGATTGTCCCAATAATCTGGATTAAATTAAAAAACACAATTTGATTCAATGTTCCTAAAAAAATTGCTACCCTTTTACATGAACGGACATCTGCCTTTCAAGATAGAATGAATCAAAGATGGCAGAAAGTAGAAACATGTTTTTGCAAGGGCGACAAGGAGCAAGCACTCAACACTAAGTTACTAACAACAAATATTGAATTATTATATAATCCAGAAAGGACCAAAAGGATTAGAAATATAACTAAAAGTTTCATTCTGTCCCAAATGCTAACAAAGAAGAGGTACTTCGGTAAAATACCAATTGCCTCAAATCCTTCATAAAGGTGATGTAATCATCAACATCACATTCATTTTTGCGCAAGGACAAACACATATATGATGTTTTAGGAGTACTGAAGATCATTTCTCTTTTAATATTAGTAAGTAAATGTAGGACACTTAGTAAGAAAGAAGGATGTAAAAGGAAGAATCAAGAGATACCATTATCATCGTGTTGCGTTAATTGTAGAGGACTTTCCCATAAAAGGAGGAACAGTATATGAAGATCAGAAGTACTTTTAGAGTGTAATTAATGCTCACCTGTCAGTTTTGCAGGATGGTTCTAAGGCTGAGACCATGTCTACCGATATAAAGATTTGGGCATACACGGATTGTAGTTGAAATGGAAAACTATATACTGGAGTGACCGTCAAAGTACACAAATGCAAATCATCTATGCTAAGTTTAAGCTCCTAGATTGCCTAGAATTTAAAATGCATTTCGTTGACTTTTTCTGACAACTACTGTTTGAAATCAATGTTTAAAGAAGAAAAAGAAAAGACAATTTCAGAGAACACTTTTTGTCTCTGAAAGGTTAAAATTGCTTTCTGTTTTCAGTGTTGTTAGAAACTGTTTTCAAAGAGCAAAACCAAACAGGCCCACTACTTGTGGATGGACTACATATGAAGTGCTCTGAAAAGTGTGTATCTTAAGCCCCTCACCAGTGATCCATTTGCTCAATTTCTCGGTCAAAACTGATAACTACAGAGATTTTTTCAGAGGGATGATATTAGAATATATCTTCTTTGTTTTAAAATATTTCCTAGGAAAATAAAAATAAAAATAAAAAAAATAACGAAAAAAAAAAAAGAAATGAAAAAGTTCTCACTTTCACAAGGCAAGCTATGCACTTCAAATCATGGCTATAGTTAAGAATGCAAGGTAATTGCAGTTCATATATCACCTACATTAATAGAAGGTAGATCAAGAGGGCATGCACCTCTTATATAAGATTGATCACACATCTGCCTGAAGGAATAATGGTCGCCAGTTCCAGTATCATAGTTGTCTTCAAAGACAAGATGTTTAAAGCCAGCTTTTAGTGCCTGTTTTAGCCTACCCATTAAAGATTGAAACAGAAGAAAAGAAAATTGAATTACCAATTAGCAAATTTGGTGAAGTGAAATGCAATAGCATACAAATAGTAAATACCCAATACCCCAATGGGCTAGCTCAAGTGGTTAAGTCACTTGGCTATTGTGCCTCATGAAGCATCAAGTCTAAGGTTCGACTTCTCTTGGTTGCAAACAATTCCTTGGTTTTTTTTTTTTTTTTTTTTTTTTTGTGGGGGTGGGGAGGGGTGAGTATCAACTAGGAAAAATAAATAGTAAATAGCCAATTGTAGTTTCACTACCCTGGAAACACATGCAAGCACTGGTATAAGTAGTAAATGAACAAGAAACTGTTTATAAACCAGGAAAAACAGTAAAATCAATTACCTTTTTAATTCATTCTGATGATCATCAAAGAAGATAAGAACCCGACTGAGATCTGTAATTCCGTGTTTCTTCATTATATTCCCCCAGTCAATGCTCCCAAAATCCACAAAATCCTTTCCAGCAAAGTACGTGCAATTGCCATCAACATAAGCAGGACCCTTCCTAAGGTATTTCTCAGGATGACGTGGTGAAAGTGACACAATTGGCTTATCTGGCATTGCTTGCCGTAAAACCCAAGTAGAATGTCCCTTGAAAGCACCGCTCTCAATCATTAAATCTGGTCTCAGCCATCGAGTAATGAACCAAAGCCCAAAGCTGTGGTCGAAGCCCATCCCATACATGTTGTTCTTGATGGGTCGTGTTTCATATATAGGTACGAACTCTTGCAGGCCCTTTAGTAGATCCTTGGATGTCCATTCAACAGTTTTTCCATGTTTCGATCTGCCTTTTGCCAAAGATAACAATTATATGAACATGGCCTGTAAAAACTTAATGATTTCATGCTCAACTCAAATTTTCAAAGTGATGACTTAACTTTTCAAGTTGAAGGTACAACATTCACTAATTAAGATCCTATTAAAAATACCAAATTTGACGATATCCAATCAAATACATACAAAATAGAACAAAAATGATGGGGAAAAAGGGTATAAAAATCCATTAAGAAACACTCAAGAAAACTGAGCATCCCAAAAAAAAAATCAAACAGATAGAACTGTGAAGCAAACCAAGTGGCCACTGGCCGGTAAGAAATGCCAGATTATGCTAACAAAATCAATAGTGAAATCATGTGCAATGCAAATTTTCAGCACTGCTGAAAAGTTGCTCATCAGTACTATATCTTCGGCTGCCCACTTCTTATACGAAATATAGTAGGTTGTTTTTTTTTTTTTTTCCCTCTTTGTGTCTGTATGTGTGTGTGTGTTGGGTGGAGTGGGTTGGGGTGGGGGGGTTCACTCCAAATAATCGGCAACATGAAAAGCATAAAATAGAAGCAATGGCAGCATTCCCATAAAAAAAAATTAAAAAGAAGATGCAGATCCAGAAAACCAAAATGCGCATTAAATTGAACTGAACAAAACAAAATATTTCAGAATAATAAAATGACGGGCATATTTGAATGTCCTGAGGATACTGAATTCTACCGTTGTGTTTCACATGGTATTTGAAGGAATAACATATCTTGAATTGGACATTAAAGAAAAACTGAAGTCATCAACACTACAATGGAACAGAACCAGTTTGTGGAACAAAAACGCAGCTGCCATTTCAATAATCTATAATAATGACTGCCATTTATCATTATGGATATTCACATAAATCTATTTATAGAACAAATTTTAAAATTCAAAGTCCACAAAATGTACAAGCACACTTTTATACCCCATGTACAATAACTGCAATGTTAATAGTCGCCTCACCAAATCACTAATTTTTTTTTTAACAGAGCTGCCATCATCATCATCATCACCATTATTGCCTTTGTCCCGTATGGTAAAAAAGCAACATACTAAACCACAACAACAACAAAAAAAAAAATAATAATAATAATTACCAAAAATAATTACATCTGAGATACGGGAGAACAATATAATATTGTATTTGGGTAGTTTGGGTTATATATATATTTGATAAGTACACAGAAACATATTAAAATCTGAGCTTTAAATCTTTCATATCCATATTTATTTACAGTATTTAGATGAAATAACCAAGGATACCCAAGAAGACATCCCATGATGCATGTTATTTGCTGATGACATAATCTATTGGATAGTTCTAAGTCTTTGCAATAAAATTAGAAACATGGATAAATGCTTCAGAAGCGAAAAAACCTAAAAAATAAGTAGGATGGAGACAGAATACATGAAATGTAAGTTTAACAAAGTAGTAGAGAATGAAAATATGACTATCATACTTTAAGAGCAAAGGGTTACTTGAAATAACCATTTTCAATATTTAGGGTCCATAAACAACAAGATGGTGATGTAATAAGAAGGATCGGAGCAGGGTGGACAAAATGGAGACAAATTAGTTGTCTCATATATGAAAATGGAATATCAAATTCTATATGACAGTTATATGGTCAACTAGTTGTCTCATATATGAAAAAATGAATATCAAATTCTATATGAAAGTTATAAGGTCAGCTACATTATATAGAGCAGAATATCTAGCATTAAAAAAGAAACAAGAGAACGCATTCACATAACTGAAACGGGAATGTTAAGATGGACAATTGGAGTAACTACAAAAGCTAGAATTAACAATCAACATGTACATGTGAGGAGAAATTACGAGTGACGCATAGGTGGTATGGTCATATACCATTAAGAAAAATGATATATATTTACAAGGGTACTTAAAAGACAAAGAGGCGGGCCGAAACTCAAATAGGATGAAGTAATTACAAATGATTTTAAAAACCTTTAAATTTAATAAGAATCATGAGAAAAAGGATGGAAAAATACAATTCATGGATGAGACAAAGGCAGTGATGATATGATGATGGTGACCTCGTGCTTGTGCGTGTGAGCACTTTACCTAACCCCAAAAAAAAAAACTACATAGCAATCCATAAACAACTGCAGAGGCGAACCTAGATACAACAATCCATCTCTGTTGATTTAAGCTTTCATAAAAGAGGGAGGTGAAACACACACCCATCATAATATATAATTATCTCGTTGTTTCATTTCACTCCATTTTCCCAGTAGTCGAACAGTTTTAAATTAAGCAGCAATTCCATCGACTTGTGCATGTCATATGCATGTGGTACATAGTTAATTCAGATCTAACAAACCCTGAATTACAAAACTAAATGCTAAAATTACATACACCAACAGAAATATATACAAATAAATATATGTATAGAGAGAAGGGGGAGGGAGAGAGAGTAAAAAACTTACACCAGGGCACGCCGAGAGATCCGAAATCGGATTCGAGTCCGTCGAGGCCAAAGAATCGCATGCGAGAAATTGGGTCAGAGGAGGGAGAAATGCAGACGAGATTGCGAGTGTGAAGGATGAGAGAGAAGAGGAAGAGGAAGAGGACAGAGAGGGAGAGAGAGGGCCATAGGTAACCGGTTCGGGTGAAGTAGTTGGTGAATCTCAGTGCGAGTGATATGTGCTTTTTGGTCTTGGACTCGTCGTCTTCGTCTCCTTCCTCGCTAACTTGCGCCGTCCTGCGCGCAGAGAGCACCATCATGTCTGGCATCATTTTCTTTTCTTCTTTCTTTGTGCTGTCTCTCAGTGAACTGACTGATGATGAGTGATGACTCTAGAAGAAGTATGAATGTGAAGAAGAAACGTTGGCTTCTGATCGTGATGGCGGTGGGATTAAGCAAGTTATGTGTGGGCCGTGGAGAGTGTTTTTCTCATACTTGGTTGGGCTTGATTGAACTGTATGTTGGGCTTTGTTTTTTTACCTTGGCAAAATTGAACACGAATATACGAATATTTGATTTTTTTTTTTTTTTTTTTTTCTTGGTCCTCCTAGCAAATAGAATAAAAACTAACAGATAAAATTATACTAATCCAACTCCACCAACTAAAGCACCTCTACCGAAAGTTGAGAGATGACAGAATCAGCACACAAGCACGAAGAAGAGAGTGATGCAAGGGCATGGGCTGCTCGATTACCTTGCCACCGCACATGGGACACCTTAACCCACGAGAAGAGGTCCAGATCAGTGCGAATATCATAGATACATGGGGCGATGATAGAAGGGTACCGAGAAGCTACTTGCAAAGCTTCCACAAGATTTTTAGTATCACATTCAAACCAGACGTGCCGAAAATCAAAAACCCGAGCCCACATGACAGCAAGTCTAAAAGCGAAAACTTCAGCCACCAATGGAGATGAAGCTGAAAATTGTTTAAAAACTACTGTCTGAAGAACCAAGCCTTCCGAATTTCTAAAAATAGCTCCCCATTCCCCAAGGCCGGTTAAAAAAAGATGCATCAACATTGTATTTGATTTTGCCGAAAGGGGGAGGAGACCAAGAAACAGGGGAAACAGAAGGTTTAGGAGTCAAATGCACATTCAACCAACATTTCTGCGAATCAAAAAACTCCCAGAAGCTTTGGACTGCCTTAGAGGCCACAAAAGAAGGATTCCAAAGAGCACCTTCAAAAATCAACATGTTGCAAGCTTTCCATAAAAACCAACAGCAAAAGGAAACCAAGCTCATCAAAGAAGTGCACTCCATACGCCCAGAGGCAAGAGTAGGAAGACTCAACAACCACTCTGAAAAAGAATTCACAACCAAATTAGAAAAATCCAAGCAAAGTGGAGTTAGCTTCCAAGTCTGCAAGGAGTGATAACATTTAAAAAAAAAAAGTGGAGAATAGTCTCCTCCTCCATACCACAATGAGGGCACATTGCATCATTAGTGAAACGTCTATGAAGACGTGTGGAACCCAATGAAAGAACATCATGACAACAGCGCCATAAGAAATGATTAATTTTAGAAAGAGTTTTACAGTGCCAAATTTCTTTCCAAATTTTCCCCACACCAACTAGAGTAGGACAATGCAAAGACATAGCTAAATGATAAGCAGATTTAACAGTGAAGCGACCCGATGTCTCAAGAGCCCAAATATAAGAATCAGTTTTATTACGGAGGCTAAATTGACATTTAGAAATTACTACCACTTCATGGGGCAAGAAAACTAAAGTTAAAATATCTCTATTCCACGAGGCCTGTTGCATATCAATAAGGTCAGCAACCTTGAATAAATAAGCTCCAGCAGGTTGGAATGGATGTGTCTTAGAAAAACCTGGAATCCATCTATCATTCCAAATATCAATGGATTGACCATTTCCGACGGACCACATTAAGCCCTTACGAAAAAGCTCTTGTGTGAACCAAATACTCTGCCATCCCCAAGACGGGTTAGATCCCAAAGAAGCCTCCAAGAAAGAATAAGATGGAAAATATTTGGCTTTAAGGAGATGAAAAGCAATACCTCGTTGAGTAACTTGAAAATTCCAGGCGTGTTTAGCCATGAGAGCAGAGTTAAAAGCTTCAAAATTACGAAAGCACAGGCCCCCACTATTTTTACTAGCACACAAATCTTCCCAATTTACCCAATGCACTAAACAGGATTGCTGTTTTTTACACCACCAGAAATTACGTACACATTTAGAAAGATCCAAACATAAAGAGCGAGGCAACCGAAAAGAAGATATAAGATATGTAAGGAGGGCACTAAGCACTGCCTTGATTAAAATTTCCTTAACACCAGCTGAAAGACAATGTTTATTCCAAAATGCAAGTCTATCTTGCATATGATGAAGAACAAACTGGAAAACATCTCGCTTAGAACGCCCCACTAAGGCAGGCACTCCCAGATAACGAGCATGGAAACCCTCCACTGAAATCCCCAGCAAATGGCTGATGATAGATCTTATAAATCGACTAGTATTTTTAGAGAAGAAAATGGCAGACTTCGAAAAATTAATCATTTGACCAAACGCCTGTTTATAACAATTAAGGATATGTTTCAATGATTGAACTTCTTCAATGGAGGCTTGATAAAAAATAATGGAGTCATCGGCGAAAAACAAGTGCGAGAGAACAGGAGCATCCCAACGAATAGACAAGCCAGTGAGAACTCTTGCCTGCTGAGCACGATGAAGAGCCAATGATAAAGCTTCCGCATATAGAATGAAAAGATATGAGGATAGAGGATTGCCTTGGCGGAGTCCCCGAGAAGGCTTAAAGAATCCCACCAGAGTGCCATTCACAACAATTGAGTAAGATACAGTGGAAATACAAGTAGAAATCAATTGAATCCAATGGGCATCAAACCCAATTTTTCAAGCATACGGAGTGAGAAAGGCCATTCGATCCTGTCGTAGGCTTTACTCATATCAAGCTTAAGAGCCATGAAGGCTTTTTCACCTTTCCTCTTATTCTTCAAGTAATGCAAGACCTCATGAGTGATCAGAATAATACTCTTGAGCCTGTTAGTCATGACTTTTGAAATAATCTTATAAGCAACATTACAAAGAGCAATAGGATAAAAGTCAGAAACCACGGTGGGAGAAGCAGTTTTAAGAACTAGAGCAATATTTGTATGATTAATACAAGATAATAAATAACCAGAATGAAAAAAACTACAAACAAATCCCACCACCTCATTTTTAATTAAAGTCCATAATTTTTGATAGAAAATGTTGGAAACGGGAGTATTAAAAATATAAACTTTGGATGAGATTTGGAATAGATTCCGCTAATAATTTTTTGCGGATCTCTAGACGAGTGCATTTCTCTCTGTAAGGAAATGAACGTGGTATATTTACTTTCTCAAATCCATTTCCGGGTGAATGAAAAATTAGCTCCAAAGTGTGATGTTTTGATAAGCTTAAATGGGTATGCAAAATGTAGAAAGTGTTTGTCCCACATGAAAAAAAAAAAAAAAAAAAAAAAAAAGTTGAAACAAATTAAAATTTAAATAAGCTGAGTTTAGGATTTGGGTTTAGGCTTGAGCCTAATTGTAAAGTCCAGATTATTCTTTTTTGGAATTTTGGATTGGGCCTAATTTTAGGCTGGGCTTATTTAAATGGGTTTCACAAATGGGTGTGTTTTTTGGGTGGTTAGTTTTTTGAATTAAAAAAACTACTTTTTAGTTTTTCTAAAAGGTTACACATTTTAAATTAAAAAACCATATTTTAGTTTTTCTAAAGGGTTACACCTTTTAAATTAAAAAACCACTTTTTAGTTTTTTCAAAGGGTTACACCTTTTTCCGAACCATCATAACCCATGGTTGCACCCACTCGAAAAAGCACATTGCAACCTATTGGAATGGATGTGTCTATTGGTGAACAGACACTATGTGAACCATTGCAACCTATTGGAATAGATGTGTCTAGTGGTGAACAGACACCATGTGAACTATTGCAACCTATTGCAATGGTTGTGTCCAATAATGAAGAGATACACCCAATCCGAAAAGGCATTTCTGTTTCTATAAATACCTCCCTTTGGATCATTTGCAAGTTGTTCATTTTCATTTTCTTCTATCTCCCTCTCTAGACTTGAACCCAACCTAAGTGGGTTCAAACCATAGGTTAAGTGGTCCGAACCACTTAGACCCTAATCCAATTTCATCGAGCCATATTAAGATTAGTCCGAACCATTTGATTCGAATTGCACCCAACTCAGCATTTATATAGCATAGATGCATTTTTGAGTCAGAGAGAGTATTACACGGAGAAGGTTCGCCGTATCTACGAGTTTGTAGTGCTGCTACTGGTGGATATAGACCGTTGTATCCTGGAAGATAGACGCCATTGAGTCCGTTAGCACCATAGCGGGGCAAATCTGTCTTAAGGACATAGTATCCAATATTAGCCTCGGTCCAGGTCTTTATTTATAATTATTATTTCATTAATTTATTTTGCATATTTAATTAAATATAGAGTTGCATATTTAATTAATGATTTCTTAGCATATTGTTAATTATCTCATAACATATTAGTATAAGATTTGTTATATCTTAAATGTCACATGAAGTATATATTTTACCATCATTCTTAAAACAGATTCGCCCATTGCGTATGTTTTATTGTATGCTTTTATTTAAGATATAAACAAGTAGAGATTATACTAATAAATGAGATATAATAAAATAATGTTATATATGATAATATGCTAAATATTGATGTGTTCAATATTATGTGAAATTGAAGCATGTTACATTACTAAATTATTGAATTATTTATATAATTCAATATTGGTTGAATTATTTTAATTTTGTAATATAATATTATGTAGTATATTATATTATCTTAAATTTGTGCCAACTAGAGATAAGAAAAAGGTATTTCATTCTTTTTATCAATGATTGCACAAGATGATGTTATCTATATCTGTTACGAAGCAAAGATAAAGCCTTAGAAATGTTTAAACATTACAAAAATGAGGTTGAGAATCAACTTGATAAGGTGTTAAGAAATGATAGAGTTCGTGAATACGAATCATCATTTGCTGATATTTATTCAGAACATTATATCATTCACGAAGAAATGATGAATGCTATGTTGACAAGTTCTGGTTTAACTCAGAATTTGTGGGGGAAAGTTTTGCTTTCCACAAATTATGTTATCAATAAAATACCTCAAAAGAAACTAATGTGATATCATATGAATTATGGAAAGGTTAAAAAAAAAAAAAAAAAACCTTCCTATAAATTCTAGAAGTGTGGGGGTGTCTAACTAAGTTTGCAGTTCCTATTTCTAAAAAAGTTAAAGTGGGACCTATAATATGGCAACCTTGTGGGTGGGTGTGCCGTGGGCGGGTGCAAGAGGCACTGTCATGCTATCACACTGAGCAAGTTACAGGTGCACAGTCCCACACCATCTACGTAAGGGAAAGGTAAAGTAATTTTATGTAGTGGTATTATCTCCAATTGGTATGAGGCCTTTTAAGATAAAACCCAATAACAAAATCGTGCAGGCTTGATCCCAAAGCAGACAATATCATACTATGTAGTGAAGTGGATCGTTACATAAAACCTTTGATAGGTTATGCTCATAACATCAGTGTATATCATTTTCTTGTGGGCTAGAACGTTTACATCTTTTGGTCCTGATTTTCTACCATGTTTATTGGAGAATGTGGCACAAAGCTTTGAAAAAGCAAAGTTTTCTCCTAAATATTATTATTTCTTAGATTAGTTATGTGATATAATTAATCATGTAGTATAATATTATTTATGTGAGTTCAATATTATTTATATAAGTGCTTACTTTCAATTGAGATTATAATATTACTTAATGTGCATAGTAATTTAATTTTACAATATAGTTGATTATTATTAATTTTGTATGAGTGACTGGTTTGTGTATTTAATACAACAGACAAAAATTGACTAGTCTAGCTATATCAATTCTCCCGATAGTCAAGGGAAAAAGATCTATACTAGTGTTTAAAGACACGTATAGCTATGAATGTGCTGAATAAGATAAGATTTTTCGATAATTTTAAAGTGTTTAATGGAAAATTTTATGGATACAGTAAGCAAGTACACTGAGACAAGCTAAATCAAGCTAGTTAGCTATAATGTACAATTTAGCTGAAAGCTAAAATGTTACTGAGTTGCAAACTAGTTAGCTTAGCCATAAGTTAAAATAATTAATGAGATGCACAGAACCTAAGAGGAAGATGAAAATCTGTTAGTTGGTTCTTGCTCTCTACTTGGTAGTAAAAAAACACGAGGGTGATGAGTAGCCATTTTAGCCATAAGCTATTTGAGCTATACATCATATCTGCTCATGTAGGAGTGAATAATACTACTTGTAAAGTAGTAGTTTTTGAAGAATATTTTTCAAAACAAATTACTCTACTACTAAGGTAAACTACTTAGTCAAGTGTGTACTAAAGTTAAGAGCTACTAGAATTGATAACTGAGCAAACTTAACTCCAAGCTAGTTGTAATAGCAGAGAAGTGGGTTCTCATTATAAACTAGTAGTAATTAATGAGAAGAGTGTGCTTAATCTAAGCTAGTAATGAGAGCTTAAAAAAAAACTCACTTTTAACTAGTAATAATAGTTGAGAAGTGAGTGCTCACTTTATGGTGATGTATCCAAAGCTTAAACAATAAGTGAGTTATTTGCTTAAATGGTTGAGTTATGTGATGTGTGACACATGAAAGGTTATGACATGTTAAGATGACTGACTTAACATGAACCTAAACATGAATAACTCAATTCATAAATACAAGAGATGTAGAAACAAATATTAATTAAAACCCATTGTAATTAATATTTCTAGTATTAATTCACAATAACGTCTGTGACATATTATAAGAACAAGCTATAGATAAAGTGAATACATATGCACTAGAGACTGTTATGCATACTTGTTGAGAAACGAATATGGAACCTTGAAAAGATAGATGAGGTGAAGTATTTAATATATGGTACTTTCATAGTTGAAAAATCATAATAAATACATTAGAGATAAAATTTCAGGATTATTCCTAAGTTGTGGGGAGATATTATCCATAGATGAAATTTGTTACGAGTCACTCATCTTAACAGAAATACTTATAAATGTGGGGGGTTCCAAGTCCTAAGAGCTTTAGGATAGAACCAAAAATCATTTATATTATTATAACAATAGTACATATTATTTCCTACGAGGAAAATATTGTGGAACAACTAGAAGAGTTCTTTTTTCAGTTGAAGTGCTGAGTTATTTGTTCCAGTTGAAAAGTCAAGTGTGCAAGCTTACAAGTCCTTGAATGGATTAAAGCTACTACCGAGACAATGATATAAATGTGATGCGTAAGTCATTGTATGCCTTAAAAAATAAATGATATACTGATTGGTATATTTGATATGAAAGATTTAACATCTGATAATATAGTATATTCTCAATAGAGTGATATTGAGATAATACTAGTTATGATAACAAAAACCTAGCTAACTTTTGTAGATATAAATCTCAAATATAAATACTAGTCAAAATACATCATTGGTTGAGATTGCAAGGCATCTTAATAACTGTGTTTAATTGCACATTTTCAATCCAGGATCGGTCACTGAAAAATAATAAATTGGGTAGTTGAAATACACCCTAAATCCAATATTGCATAGATCGAGGTATCTAACTAAATTGGAGGTGTAACAGTAATGTAATTTGGATATGGGATATTAAAGACTTCAAATCCAAGAGTGGATATGTCTTTTATATTAAAGGTGTAATTGTATATTCTTAATATAACTCAAAGTTAGAAACTTTGAATAAATCAAATAGGAAAGTCAATAGACTTCACCTAGAGGACATTTCAATGTAAGTCTACTCTGTGCCACTAAAGAAAATGATATTGCTAACAATAAGCAATTTTAGGGCATAAAGTATACAGTTGCTCTCACCTGGAGAAATCTCTACAGAGTGTAATATTTTAAACACAACCTTGTGGCCACATATAAAATTGAGGGTTGTACTAGAGAGCAATTGTACAGATCATCGAGGGGAATGGGATTAAAAGCCGAAAGCTAACGAGTCACCTTAATGGAAACCCAACCTAATTGACTGGAGATCCCAAGATCTAGGTTCAAAGGGACAACAGAAAATCTGAGTGACTCACCAAAAGCACTGGGAAGATATAAATCTTCTGCCCATTTCTATGATGAGACAGTTCTACCTACAGCGAGGATTAGGATAAGCTACGCTTTTAATGACTCTTATACCTTGAAAATTCAAGTGGGGTATGGTAGGATACTCTTAATAAGAAGTCACCTATATGAGTGTGAAGTGGGGCCGCTTTTATGAGAACTATAAAGGCTAAGTTTTTTGGAGCACTCATTGAATACCAGGAGTTGTTCAGGGCCAAAATGAACACAACAATGAGAACCAATTTTGTGAGGAAAGGTACTGTGTGTTTGTTATTGTCTTGGTTTACATAAACGGCTGAATAGTTCAAGACATTGCGTTCACTAGTTAGCCAGTAAATCCGATAGCAATACACTAGGGAAGGTTCAAAACCAAAAGCTATCTATCCTGATGCAGTAACTTTCCGATTATACTCTCTCTAGTGTCTGCATGATCATCTTTTACATTGTACGCAAATTTCCATTCATGTGGGGGATTGTTGGAAACGGGAACATTAAAAACATAAACTTTGGATGAGATTTGGAATAGATTCCGCTAATAATTTTTTACAGATCTCTAGACGAGCGCATTTCTCTCCGTAAGGAGATGAACGTGGTATATTTACTTTCTGAAATCCGTTTCCGGGTGAATGAGAAATTAGCTCAAAAGTGTGGTGTTTTGATAAGCTTAAATGGGTATGCAAAAGTGGGAAGTGTTTGTCCCACATGAAGAAAAAAAAAAATGTTGAAACAAATTAAAATTTAAATAAGCTGAGTTTAGGATTTGGGCTTGGGCCTAATTGTAAAGTCCAGATTATTCTTTTTTGGAATTTTAGATTGGGCCTAATTTTAGGCTGGGCTTATTTAAATGAGTTTCACAAATGGGTGGGTTTTTTGGGTGGTTGGTTTTTTGAATTAAAAAAACTACTTTTTAGTTTTTCTAAAAGGTTACACCTTTTAAATTAAAAAACCATATTTTAGTTTTTCTAAAGGGTTACACCTTTTAAATTAAAAAACCACTTTTTAGTTTTTTCAAAGGGTTACACATTTTTCCGAACCATCATAATCCATGGTTGCACCCACTCGAAAAGGCACATTGCAACCTATTGGAATGGATGTGTCGATTGGTGAACAGACACTATGTGAACCATTGCAACCTATTGGAATAGATGTGTCTAGTAGTGAACAGACACCATGTGAACCATTGTAACCTATTGCAATGGTTGTGTCCAATAATGAAGAGATACACCCAATCCGAAAAGGCATTTCTGTTTCTATAAATACCCCCCTTTGGATCATTTGCAAGTTGTTCATTTTCATTTTCTTCTATCTCCCTCTCTAGACTTGAACCCAACCTAAGTGGGTTCAAACCATAGGTTAAGTGGTTTGAGCCACTTAGACCCTAATCCAATTTGATCGAGCCATATTAAGATTGGTCCGAACTATTTGATTCGAATTGCACCCAATTCAGCATTTATATAACATAAATGCATTTTTGAGTCACAGAGAGTATTACACGGAGAAGGTTTGCTGTATCCACGAGTTTGTAGTGCTGTTACTGGTGGATGTAGACCGTTGTATCCTGGGAGATAGACGCCACTGAATCCGTTAGCACCATAGCAGGGCAAATCTGTCTTAAGGACATAGTATCCAGTACTAGCCTCGGTCCAGGTTCTTTATTTATAATTATTATTTCATTAATTTATTTTGCATATTTAATTAAATATAGAGTTGCATATTTAATTAATGATTTCTTAGCATATTGTTAATTATCTCATGACATATTAGTATAAGGTTTGTTATATCTTAAATGTCACATGAAGCATATATTTTACCATCAGAAAAGTGGGGTCATACCATTTGGCCGGAGCCTTAAGAGGAGCCATACTGAATACTGTCTGTTTAATCTCCAGCTTTGTCTGTTGACCCAAAAGAGCATTGTTCATCTCTGTTGAAATTCTACACGGCACATGTTGAAGAAAAGAATCAACCGCCATTGGACTAGAGGTCTGAAAAAGATTCTGAAAATAGTTCAAGAAAGTAGAATGAATTGTTGTTTCCTTTTCTTGCCAAAACCCCAAATCATCCCGAATACCAATGATCGCATTTTTTGCACGACGACGCTTGGTAGTTGCATGAAAAAATTTTGAATTACGATCACCAAATTGCAACCATTGATTTCGAGACTTCTGTTTCCAATATAGCTCCTCTTCAAGCCAACAGGAAGATAAAAGAGATTCTGCCCTCTGCAACTGAGAATGATCATAATCAGAAATGTTCTCCTTCAGACATTGCAAATTATGTTCGGCTGCCTGGATTTTAACTTTAGAATTTGATGGACGACTACGAGCCCACTAAGATAATGCCTGCTTACAAGATTTCAACTTTGAAACCCAACAAAATTGATGAGAGCCACAAGCAGGAAAACACCATGCACGGGCAATAATATCACAACATTGATCCTCCAAAATCCAGCGGGCATCAAAATGGAACTGCTTCTTCATCAGTTGGGAACTAGGAAAAAGATCCAGAAGCAAGGCATGATGATCAGATCCCACAACCAAAAGATGTAGCAGGGTAGAACGAGGAAAAGCAAAGCACCAGTCCTCCGTAGCTAATGCACGATCCAACCGTTCTTGAATATTTGTTGCACCATTTCTTTTGTTAGACACTCTATACCAATTACAAAGACGCTCCCACCTCTCTCTAACTTTCTCTCTCTAACCTAGCTTTCGTATTCTTCCTTCAGTTGTTCCCTGCTCTCTTTCCCACTTAAAAAAATACGAAGTAAAAATAATATTAAAAATCACTTTATTTCAACAATGTGATTGCTAATACACTTTTTTCAAACAACGACATCTCATAAAAGTCAACTTTTTCTTGATATTTCCTTCTCAATTTCCAAATATACATCGAAAATATATATTTAGGTATAAATATAGATTAGTTTTCCTTTTTAAGCTATGCATAACCAAACTAGCCTTGGTTTATTCCATTCCTACCTTATTTCATTCCCCCATACCAAACTAGCCCTAAGGGTATTATAATAAATACGTAAACTCAAATCTAATCCATTTAATAATCGTATCAAAAATCTTCGACACTAACCCAACCCGTTTCCAATTCGTTTATTAAACAAGTAAATGTGTTAATCCGTTGATTTGTTTATCAAAATGAGACATTTACTATTTAATCAAATATTAACTAATAGAAAAAAAATTGTCATAATTAACTCAAATATTCAAAATAAAAAGAAAAATCATAAGGCATAGACAATGTTTATGTTGAAATGACTTAACTATTGATAGTAATTGGGTTTCAACATGTAACATTTTACATAGGTCATATTCTCGATTATAACATGTTGAGTTAAATGGATCATAAACGGGTTACAGAGGTTAAATTACTCAACCGAACATGGTTAAGGGCCTGTTTACTAATGGGAATAATTCATGTTTTTTACTGCCAATTCCTAAAATAAGGAAGCAAAAGTAAAAATCATATTTAATAAAGTAATTTCACTTTTTCAACTTCAAGAAAGTACTTTATCTTTTAATGAAGAAAAGAGAAAGTGACAATTTGATACTTTCTTTATTTTCTCCATTGTAGACAAAAATTACTTTCTCCACTTCTCCCACCAAAATTACTGTACTCCCCCTCTTTCTTCCTCTAACCCATCATCCTCTCCTATCACCAAAACCGACGCCACACCAGCTCATTTCTCTTTTTCTCTTTACCACCTCAAATTGCTATCAAATACTGCTGATCATCCATTGAAGACTGAAACCCCTTCTTACTTCTATTGTTGACACATCATCTCATTAGATCGGTGGTGGTGGTGATGGTGCTGCCTGTGATACCCCCGGATTTTCGGATGCGGGTTGGCCAGGCCCACGCCCGATAACCCGAGGATATTAAATCAATTAGCAATAATCGAACACAGAATACAAATAAGAAAACAAGAATAATTAAATTGCTGAAAAGAAACTAGAATAATAATCCAAAAATCTCAGAATAAAATTTTATTAACAAAAAAAAAATAATTCTGATACATCCTACTTCTCCATTTCTATTACAACTTGGGAATCCATCTAGTGGACCCCTAAAACATCTCACTGAACTCAAAAGATTGGAAATGAAACCCAAGTCTAAAATATGAAATAAAATCCTGGTCATCGGTGGAGTGAAGACTGTATCTGCTCAGCACGATCCAGCTCTAAGTCTGGAACTAACGAACACCGGTAAAAATAAGAGTGGGTCAGGCCCACATGCAAATTCTTTTCTAACTACAATCCAAACAGTGACTCGATACACAGATACACCATAGATATCTCAACAATAGCTATATAATCCATACATATAGATATATCCACACTAAGGGACATTCACTGGTCTATAGTAGGGGTCTCAACCTGAATAGAAGGCAACATTCGAAAACGCACCCAAAGGTGGGCATGAGTACCTAGACCTAACAGGGTACATGTAATACCCCTAATTTTAAAAGGACAGTCCTGGAATTTAATTTAATTATTTATTGTATTTTTATTAAATTAATTGATTATTTGTTTGTTTTGATAAATAAATTATTTGCTTATTTGATTTATTTTATTTTTAATTCAATTAATTGTGTTTTCTTTAATCAATTGCTTAAATTGTATTTTGGCTTGTTTCATTAATTTAAATGTGTTCTCAAGTTTAATTAATTACGTGCTTATGTGAATTCACTATTTAAGAATTTAGGGTTTTGGTTTTAACCGACATAGGTTATTAAAAGGTTTTCTTGGGCTGACTAAGAGTTGCGTTAGGGCTCTAATTATACAAGGATTAGGGTTGGAGTATTAAGCCTATAAATATAATCTTATGTGGGTTTTAGAAAATACAAAACTCTGTTCACGATACAGAGAGAGCAACAGAGAGAAAGAAAGAGAGATAGGAGAGGAAGGCTAGGTTGGACCAAGAAGGAGGAAGGAGAGGCTGCTTATAGGTGAAACCAATAGCAACGGAGGTGGAACTACAGTCTAAGATTTTAACGGAACATTCAGAGACAGAGGATTTCAGTTTCAAAATCTGGAATTGCAGGCAAGTCTCTGTTCTTCACTTTCCCATTAATTCGTGTTCTATGCATGCCTAGTTGGACTCCAGGGATTTAAATAAAGATTAAAACGGACTTAAATAAAAGTAATAACAAGTCTTTTATGCATATATGATTTTTATTTAGTCTCGTTGATAATCTGGTTTGCCTAATCCTTGTTGTTTCTGTTGTTTGTTTCTTCTCGGTGTTTATGTTAAGCTTTGATTAAATGGGGATCATGATTATGTATTGAGGACTAGATATCAATCTGGGGTTAAGATTGAACTCTGAAATAAGTATTAAAAAAAAACAGTATTCAATTTTCACATAAGAAATCTGTTTTGAATCGCTTAAGTTTATAACTGAGTTTTTGTAATCGTCGCTTTAAAAGGTTGTGTTCAATACATGTTATGGTTGTATGTTAGTGGTTTAAGGTGTGTCTAGGATTGAGTTGGAACCTAGAACAAGGACTAAAAACATCACAGAGGGTCTAGGGAAACACCGGAGTTGAAGCAGATGAAGCTAGAACGAAGAGAGGGCTGCTAAGAGGAAGGAGAGAGGGCTCCAAACCTCTTAGAGCCGGCTCCCAAAGGGGAGAGCTGGCTCTATGTATCATGGAGCCGGCTCTAAGATCCTAGAGCCGGCTCTAGGTGCAAATATGGAGCAGGCTCTCATTTTTCTAGAGCCTGCTCTTCTTGAAAAACACTGTAACGTGCATTTTGTTAAAACTGTTGGTTTTTCAGGATTTTTGCAATTAATTTAAATTGGTTTAAATGATGTGTGGGACTATTCAAGGCTAGATTTATGGTGCAAAAATATAAATTCATAGCTGGATTAAAAGTTAGAGCAAGATGAACCTAAGAGAACATGGTTAGTTTGCTCTCTGTTTTTATTAGTTTTGTATACTGGAACGGAATAAGGTTTTTATATATAATTTAATTATATATAATCATATATTTATTCAGTATGTTAAGGATGGTAAATTAATTTTATTTTAACCATGCTTAGTTAGATTTAATTGATACTTAAATTTCTTTTAACTGTATCAATTCGGGGACTATATTGGAGAATTTGCTAAGTTGATATACCGGAGCTTGGCAAGGTTGTTGTGTATGATTTAAATATATGTCTAAATCATAATTCTATAGTACTTGAAGTCTAGTGAATTAACTGAGTTTTCCCTATGCTTAACTTGGGTTTATTTGATACTTAAATTGTACTAAATTGTATCAATTCATGGATTATGCTGGAAAATGTAAATGTGTGCAAATTATGTAGCAATTTACATTGTTGGAGTTGGATTTTAGGCTCGGTATTGAATACCTAATATTTATGTATATAGATTAACTTATCTTGTGCATACTATGGGATGTGGTTGATGACTATTTAATATTGTTTTGTCAACTATGTTAACTGGAGGATTGTATGTACCGGTATGGGACGGTAACATACTAGTATGGATTAGTTCAAGCACTAAATCCTACCTAATTTGGAATGAGTTGGATTAACCATAAAAAGGTTAAGTCCTACTTATATGGATATATATGAACCGGTACGGGACGGTGTCATATTAGGGCTGGCTTAGTTCAAAACACTAAGACCTACCTATATTGGGAATGGATTAGTTCAAAACACTAAGTCCTCCCTAATTTGGATTAAGGTATGGATTAACCATAAAGGTTAAGTCCATCACCTACTTGTGTCATGTCAATCAAATAAATTGAATGACCTATTATGGTTTCAGGATGGATTTGTTATACATATATCAAACCACTATGCAGATGGATGATATTTTGTATTAGGAGTACGGACTTTATATATATATTATATGTACCATGGTATGAGCTTGAGTCTCAGGACCATGGTTAGGGGGCGTATATCGCCTAGGATGGATAACTGGACATAGGTGTTGTTCCCTGGTAGGTCTAGGTACTCATGCCCACCTTCAGGTGCGTATTCGCAAATTGCCTTCTATTCAGGCTGAGACAGACCTACTGGACTAGCGAACGTCCTATAGTGTGTACTATATACTTATATGGACTACTCTAGTTATTGTTGAGTCTTCCTAGGATGTATCTGCGTATCGGATTACTGTTTGGATTGTAGTAGATCAGGACTTGCATGTGAGCCAGACCCATTTCTTTATTTTTCAGGTGTTCGTCAATTCCAGGGTTAGAGCTTGGACGTGCAGGGCAGATACAGATATTCATTCCTCCGACTACGTAGGAATCTCCTTTATGTTAGCTTTGGTCTTTATTTCTATTATTTTTAGTTCCGGTTTGAGAATCTTTAATAAGGGGTCCAATGGATGGATTCCCAAGTTGTAAACCTATGGGGTTTGATTTAACGGATTTTAAATAATTATATTATTTTAAGGATTTTCAATTAGCATTCTTTCAGCTTATTATTTTTAATTCTTATTTTATCTGGAAT